AAACTTTCTCAGAAACCAACATACCGTGTTGGGATCTATAAAACACATGAGGAAAGGTCATTCCCAGTAATACCCGGTCTAGGAAAATTCCTCCAGGAGACAATCAACAATTTATCCATAAACCTACAAATAAACAGAAGGACAACCTCGGAAAGGGCTGCAGGCCTCATGTGCCCCAGTTGCCAGATAAAATTAGGGTAAATGTTTATGATTTAACAACACTGAAAACTGCTTCCAAAGTTTCAAAGACTTCTGAGAAAATATATTACCAATATTTATCTCCTTTGGAGTAATATTACAATATTTACCTCCTTTGGGCTTTCATTTGGGGTTAAATTATTTTGTATGACTTAAGACATCCCTATCAAGACTGCCTGTTGTGATTGTGTAATACTCTGATCTTACTCTATAAACAGAGGCACAAAGGTTTGAATGTCAGAAAGGCTTTTTTTTTTTTTTTTTTAAAGCTCTGCTAAGTTTGTGTCCAACTTGTATGACTTGCTATGGAAGCCCTGAATGAAAGCAGAAACCTAAAAAACAGCTAAACCAAAGTTGAGGCAGTTTCAGGCTAAGAGGAGCCTTTTGGAGCGGTCTACCATTTGGACTCAACAAAAATAGGTCATTTTGTGTCCGCCTTAGGGAGGTTTCATACCAGCTTTGAAAACTGTTGATTTAAAGTGAATTTTCTACAGTCTACTTACAGTCTGCTGTAACGAAACATGGCAATGTGACTCCAATTAGGGTAACCAGCCACCTTTATATATCTTTTTCCAGTTTGGGACTAATGTTGTTAAATAATTACAGTGTTAGTATCTTCGTTAGCTTTTTACTGAAAAACGAATTTAATTACTTTTCACATATTTATAACGTTGTTACCTTATTTGGAATCTAACGATGGCACAGAGTCACTGGTTAAATCACAGTGTCATAAGCTACATGTTCCTGTGGTTTGTTCATTTTATACAGGACCAAAAACTGTATATACATGTCAGTTAGAAGCATCTCTAATCCAAGGAAGCTTCTACCATCTTCTACACTGAAAGATTAGCGAAGTGTATTTTTATTTTGTTAAACTGCTTAAAAAGCATTAGTTCCAGCTTCATACTCATTTTATAATCAGTTGAAGCCTCACAAAAATATAAAGCTCTAAAGCATCTAATTGGCTTAATTGTTCTTTTATTTTAGGAAAACAACATAATCCTGTTTAAATAACTATAAACTGTGGCTCACTTGTCCCATCACACACACAAAACTTCTTATATTTCAAAACTGAACTGAACTACCAGTTTTTTAATATACAAATAACAGGAAAGTTATCCAGATTATTAGTCATTTAAGATAATAAAAAAGCAACTTTATAGTTACTTTGACTAGTAACTAATTACGTTGACTGTGCAGTAACTGTTACTAACATAACTATTTTGGTGAAGTAACATGTAACTATAAAGAGTAATTTTTTAAAGTAATGTTTCCAACATAGTTTTTTTTTTACTGGGTCCTTTTAGTGGTCATAATTTCTCATATCTGGCCCAAGTGTGGATTAAAACCACAGTCACATCAAAAACATTAAAATACTTATAAATTAATATACTAGCAAATTATTATTAAGATTTAGAATATTTGTATGAATATGAATCAATATTAATTGAAATATCGAAATAACTAGGGATGCATGATATTGGGATTTTGGCCGATATCCGATATGCCGATATTTTAAAACTCATGTAGCCGATAACCGGTACCGATGTTAAAGCTGGACAAAAATAAGTAGTCATTGAAAATAGCAGTTTTGTAATCCATTTCTGACACTTTGAAAAATAATATACTCAAATGTATTTTCATATGCTGATATGAAATTGATTTTTAAAAATGCGGTATCGATCTATTTTACTTTCAAAATCTCGTGAAATTAAATTGTTCTGTTACAAACTCTTGTGATATGTTAGTAAAATAGATCGATACCGTGTCAATATATCAACATATAAAAATATGGTAAAATTTCGTGGATTTTCGGGGGATTTGTAGCATAACGATGACGTATAGCAATATTTCATTAGTAAAAGATGTTTGATATGGTGTTTTTAAATGGCAATATATCAGCATATGAAGATATTGTGATATTTTAATGTATCAATATTTTTTCCCTCGTCTTTAGAAGTTTTTAAGTCTGTAAAAAAGAAGTTTTTGAGGAAGAGGAAGAAGTACCGGTAGTATTGTTTTTTTTTTTTTTTTTTTTTTAGACTTTAGAAACTCAGAAGCTGATCAAATATCGGGTTAAATATCGGTGGGGTGGCCGATGTCCGATATTCAGTTTTAAGGCCGATACAGGCCGATACCGATAGGGGGCCGATTATATTGTGCATCCCTAGAAATAACCATAAACATCTACTGCAATGTTTGATTATTGGAGGTTGTTTGCAAAATTCTCATCACTACAACATAAGAATATGAACTGCTGATGGACACTTTTTATTCCAAACCTCTGCAGGATTGGCTAAAGTAATCCAAAGTTCTTCTAATACAACCTATCTGCAAAACTAACATGTTAAAGTAATATGAATTTTACACAGAAAATTAGATATGCCATTTCCTGGCTTTGTGAAATGTATGCATTGTACTCTATGATGTTAACAAATCTGCTAGTTCCTTACCCCAGATAAAGGAAAAGGTGATATTTACTTAATGCTACCTAAAGAAAAAAAATCATCACAAGCTCATTATAGTAGTATCACAACATTTGGTAGATCTTAAATCAAACAGGATTTCTGTTTTTCTTGTACTCATATATAACTGGGAGTTTAATGATCCATCTTATTAAATTAGAAAATACACCATTTGGGTTCACAGAATGAGGCAAGAGGAGATTCATTAAAATATTTGTGGCAAAATCATGAATCCTTAAAGTTTGTTTTTTGCTCTTTAAATTGGGTAAATGATTCATGAAATTCAAACTGTGCTTTAAAAATCTCCATCTAAGCCTAAGGTGGTCATTTACAGACATAAAAATATTTCAAATGCGAAACTTAATTTGTTTTTACAAAAACTAATGTTTCCAGCATGGGAAAATGTGTTCAGAAAATATTTACTCAATTCAACAGTTGAGATTTGAAGTATTTTACTTTGTAAACTGAATAATTTAGCACCAGTAGGGGGCAGATTCCACTGTTGCAGCATCAGCAGCTAATGATGCAAGAGTAAGGTGCAGCCAGTTGAACCAAATACTCAGTACATACAAATCTTTTATACCTTTGATATTTAAATACCATATTAGCATAAATATTTTTTTATTTCTCAGTTTTTTTTAACAATAATTTGAAAAATATGCCATGCTTTATGATAATGCCCCTTCTGCTATAACTTTAAAGTAAACTGAAATAATTTTCTTTAAGAGGTCAACTATGATAAATCTACTTAACCTCCATTAATCAGTATAGATACAGAGGTAATGAGATGTTTGTTAGAGCCCGTTATTAAAAAAGTAACTATTTTCCATACGTTCAATAAGTCTAGACTTTCCAAAAAAAGTAAAATGCTGATGATTTTTTGCAAGAGACCCGTTTAAGGGACACAGGAAACACGTAGAAGGAAATTTTCTGGTCAGATGAGACCAAAAGTCTGTTTTTCTGACCTAAATGAAAAATATATTTGAGTGGAGAATTAACACTCCAAACATAACATGCCAGTTGTAAAAGGTGTTTTTCATAGCATCATGCTGTAGGGATGTTTGATTTGATGGGAAGATAAAGCTAACTGTAAGAAAATTATGTTAAAAAAAAAAAGACAAACAAAAAAACATGTTGATCGTGTCCATTCTGCCATGACTTGGTTAAAATGTTTCAAATGAAAGCATGTTCATTAAAATGATCAAGTCAAAATCCCTAACTCAACCCAATCAGTATGTGAAAAGATGCAAAAACTGCAATCCAGTGATAATAACCAAATCTTTAAGAGAAATAACACAAAATATCAGCATCATTTGCTTTCAGCTTTACATGTAGGCACTTCTTCCAGTATAAATCCCTATAGAAATATATTACCATCTGGCTCTAATAGGACCAAATAAGAGAATCAGATTGAATTGTTGCAAAGCTGCATATGATCATTTTATGCTTGTTTTCATTCCCTTTAGTTCTAATTAGATCCCATTATTCGGTCTACACAGCCAATTGATGCAGAAAGCACAAAGAACCCTCCACCTCTACCTGATCTGCAGACATTTAAAACACAGCACAAATCTAAAGCTGTCAAATTAGAGACATTCTTTAAAAATCCTAGAGGAGAGGGAAACAGTTTGAGAGAGTAACAAACACAACCCAGGAGTGTGTGTGTTTTCCCTTCAGTTATCACCATTGAGCATGCATGCATTCAAGCAGGCAGGCCTGAGGCACAGCAAACCAACTGCAAGCCGCACTTCATCCATGCACATGCTGTTGTGATGGCCGATGGACAACATTTCCCAGCGTCCAGGCGGGCGTCCCTCTGCAAAGGGCTGCACAAAGGCGCGCAGCCAGCGCGTGCCGGGCCACTGTCACGCGTGATAATCTGATGAATATCGCTCATATTTAGGTCAATCACAAAGTGAAAGCGTTTTCTCTGCAGCCACAACCCCCAAATCTCTCTCTCTCTCAAACAAACACACACACCCCGGCCTCGGATGGACTGACGCACGGCCAGCTGAGATGCAAAAAGGTGCGTGTGTGGGGACCGGGGGGTGGGGGGGGAGGTTCCCGTTTCCCGTTTTCTGACATCATGATCAATGCAAGCGGCACCGCACATCTTTCAACGCAACAACAAAAGCATAAATCGCATCACAAATCGGGGTAAAGTGACGTCAAATAAAATAGTAAAGAAAAGACACAAAACATCTGGCGCACACTTCAAGTGAAAAAAAAAAAAAAAAAGATACAGCATCTGGCCATATTCCCAACAGGCTGTCATATTCTAGCAGTGCTCCTGTCAGGGGTAAAAGAGGAAGCTGGGATGACATTGCGCCTGCTTACTGTAAAATCCAATCCCCCCGGGGATGGAGAGCCTCCCTTCTTCCTTTCCAGACGCGCAGAATCCCCACGAAATTCAGACCATGCAAAACAGGTAGTCAGTCACTCCAGCCCTGCCAAGGATTTCCTCCGGCTCGGTGGTGCGAGAGAAGGAGAGCCAGCATCAGAGAGGAGGGAGAGGAGAGAGAGACAGCTGTGGGGAGGAAATGAGGGAAGGTAGGAGCGGCCGGAGCACTGCGCACAGGAGAGGAAGCAAGGAGAGTGGCAGAGGTGCTTTCCCTCCCTATCTCTCTCTCACTTTCTCTCTCTCTTCCTCCAGTTTGCCATAAAACATCCCCCCATCCGTGCCAGACGGACGACAGACGGCCTGGGTACCAGTGTCAACAGCGCCGCCCACTGGGGATGCTAGGGACTGCTGGAAGGAAAAGAAGGAGTTTTTGGGTGTAGGAGCCTGACTTCAGCATTTAATGATAAAAAAAATTATTCATACAAACAGACATTTATCTCATCCTTTTTACGAGAATCATGGGATGATGTAAAGCAGAAATGTTACCTTCTAATGGGAAAAGGAGGAGAAAAAGTATTTCTCATTGTGCTTTTATCAGGTTTAAAATTTTAAAAAGTATTAGGGTTTCTGTTTGTGTGAGATGTTTTGTGTTTTCCTTTTTTTTTTGTCTCCACCCATCCACTAGATGGTGCCATTTTCCCCTGTTGGACTGGAGGGCCTCTTCTGGTTTTCCACCCACACCTGCTGCTCGTTTGGTCATTACCAGAGGAGTATATGGGCAGTAGACTGTCACCACCTCGACGCCAGAGTGTTTGCCAGTATTGGGATAACTTCCTGATCTACTGGATAAGCCTGGTCCTTCAAGCCTTGGAAGGAATCATTCGTCTCCCTGAGATTCAAGGAAAAACATTAACAGCTCCTGTTAGTTGTCCACTTCAGTAAAACTCGTTGACAGTCCACTCCGCTGCTCCTCTTGACCACCACCTGTCTGCCTGTCCGCCCTCCAGCCAAGTATCACCAAGTCTGAAAAGTCCCCACAAACAGGAACCAAGGAGCAACCTCAAGTCAACCTCTGTGAGTCCTACCCTGCCTTTATTTAAGCCTTGACCTGAAAATTCCTACGGACCTTGAACTCATCACTTTGATCTCCCTCTAGTGTTTCCGGTTCCGGTTCACCTGACCGTTGGACATTCCCCAGCTGAGAGTCCTCCTTTGTTCTCTTTGAATTATCCCCTTCCAATAAACTGTTAAACTTTTCATCCGCCTCTGAGTTGTTTCTGCATGTGGGCAAAACATCAGAAACCCATCATGACAAAAAGGATACATAAAAACAATAACTGAAATGTCAAGAGAGAAAAATAAGACATTGTTGAAGAAAACAGATTCCTAAAGGAATCATAAAACAATAATGTTTACCAAAAAAAATGTTCTCTTATGAACAGAAGCAGGTGTAGCCCTTCTGTATTTTTTATTACAGTATATTGATCTTCTTTTGCCCCTAGCATTTCCAAAAACACTGTGTTGAGACTTTGCTTGTCTTTCTTTTTCTAATTCAACATCATCAATAATATCATCAATAATATCCAGTTTTAACTGTATGGTTAAAAGAGTAAAGGGGGAAAAAAGCAGACCGCAGCCTGTCTGAACTGATGGTCAAAGAGAAGCATTAAGTGTGCAAAAATGTTTAAAATAGAAGAAAAAGTCAGAAAAAGTACAATTACTTGAGAAAAAAATTTGTAAAAATAAAGTAAAACTAATAAAAGAAGAATATAAGAGGGAATATAATGCATGCCATTCTTCCTTGGTATTCCTTACCGCAGTCTAGGTTAGTTAAAAAACGTTAAATTACCGTTATGAGCGAGAGAGTCTCTGTTTCTTTCGGTCTTATTTGACCCACTTCGTTGGTATTTGTGGAAATGCACTGAAGTGGATTATTTCTTGTCTGACGGATGGGACTTTCTATCACAATCAATATTGTGCTCCTCCTTTGTGTTCGATGCCCCAAGGCTCTAGTCTTGGTCCTGCTTTTTTTTCCCTTTATACACTTCCTTTCAGGCAGTTAATAACAGCACACCAACTACCCTTCCATGTTGTGCAGAGAATATATGAATGCATTAAAATAGATTGAGGAAAACAGTGAATACCACAATAAAAGACTACTAAGTTTTGGCTTATGCTACAAAATCCTAAAGAAATAAACCAATGTTTGTTATTGTCACATATCTAAAATGGGGAAGGTTAAATGTAGTAAACTGTTTTGGCACATCAGTGTTTTACCCATGTTCATCCCACGGAACACATCCCAGCCCTTTGGATGCTTTGTGTCAGTGCAAACTTTTCACTAACATTTCTGAGTTTTCTGCTCCCAGCAGTGAACAGAATACCCAGAAATCTTTTAATGGCATCAAGTACAGCTGGAACAGACCATAATAATCCTAACCAGTCTCTCATGGCGTATCCCGCACAAATCTTACTCTTGATCCTAAACAGAGCAAAATCACTCTTTTTCCTTTGGGGAAGTGGCTGGAAACAACATCTTAAAGGTAGAAACAGAAAAATGACTTTACACAGGGGATAGATGGAGACTAAAAGACGCTGTAAAAAGTTTGGAGCCCAGCTGAAAGAGAGTCAGTCAGAAGGTACGCAGATCCTCCTCATCTCATCCAAATCTGACTCTTTCTATATCCCTTCCTGTCTCTCTCTGTCTGTCTTCTCCTCTGTTCGCCTTTGTCAAGCGTTTCATTGTTCAGTCGGCTGAAAGCTATTTTCAAATACCACAGCAAACTGCATTAATGGCAAACTAGATCTTGAGCGTACCGTGCTCATATGCACTGTTTGCTTCATTAAACAAGAAATGAATGTGGATGTTCCGATTAACCACACATCTCCAGCGAAATGTCACATTGTAGTGCCTCACACATTTACCCATAAACCAAGTTATACACTCCTACCAAATCTAAAGGAATGCATATATGAGGCAGCAATGTTCATGTACTGTGATATTTGACTGTATTCGCTCATTTATTTGTCATCTCACCCCTTTCTGAACTCTTCCTTTGCAAAACTTCTATCTCTGCTGCTTTAATGATGTGACATCTTAGTGGATAACATTAAAGTTTCATCTGACCTCTTCTGAAAAATGAAATCCCTTAAGCAAGTCACTTGTCTGCTCCAGTAAAGCTGTTTATTGTCCATCAGGGAGGCATCATGACTGTAAAAAAGCAGCCTGGAGGTTTCATACAGCCCATATCTAATCAGGACTATTTTTTATGCTCAGCTGAAATCAGATATTTACATAAACGGCATAAAAAAGACACATGACACATTCTAACTTTCTAACAGTTCAGGGAGAGGTCTGAACTTTTCCTCATTTAGGTCAGTTGATTATCCAAATAGTTTATGGCTGACAAATGCCAATGTATACCCTGGCATCACAAACCTCTCTCTTTATAAAGAAGGAGGTTTGTGAGAGAATTTTGAATTTCTTTCTTAATTGCTTCACATAAGGGAGGAATAAAGCCCAGATGAAGGAGTCATTCACTTTTCAAGACTTTGATGGGTTAATTCACAGCAATGATTTAACTGAAGACACACATGCGAAAGCATTTTAGGAAGATACATTCTATTCTATCTGAGATTTAAAAAAAAAAAGATTTTGAGGTACGATTAATGATTTTTACCTCAGAATAAATAAAGAATATATTTTGAAAGTGCTTACAGATATTTGTAAACCTTTCTCAACAGAAGAAAAGAATGGAAAAGTTTCCTACTTAGACTGAAAGGTCCTTTAAAGAGGAAGGGGTCAGGGGCTGTGATGGTGGCTCAGGATGTAGGGGTCATCAGTTTAGGTCCCTGCTCCATCTGTCTCTGTTTCTTTGGGCAAGACACTTCACCCGCAATGCCTGCTGTTTTCGGTCAGAGAACCTGGTGGAGCTGATTATATGGCGACCTCTCCTCTATCAGTCTGCCCAAGGTCAGCTGTGGCCTCAAAGTATCTTACAGGCATCTGAGTGAAGAAGTTTGGAGACCTTGGACATGATAAAGTATTATTTACAGGCATGAACAGCCTGATACAGTTTAAGAAATGCACTCAGTGAGAGAGATCTTTATTTGAGGAAACGTGCTCTGTGATGTTTTAAAACTGAAATTGGTAATAAAGAAAACTAATACATAAAATGTAAAAAAAAAAATGGAGGAGATTTGTGGGCAGTAATAACCTGACTCATTTGGACCAGTTATTTTAAGAGAGATGGGCCAAAATTCAACCTAGTGGAAGAGTTTGTGGAAGGACACACACAAACATATTTTATACGGTCTGAAGGGCAATTATAACAAGTACTAAACCTTCTGCAAAATTCTGAGTAATGATCATGTCTTCATATGATTCTGGAGGTAGCGGAAAGACCTGGGTTCACACACTGGAGGTATGTAATGGTTGTTTGTCCTGTCTAGGGTTTACCCTTCCTCTTACCAAAGTAATCTTCCTTTTGAACTGAGTGTATGATGCTTCAATACTAAAGACACACATTCACTACACAACCAAAAAAAGCAGGGATGGATACTGTTGTTTATACAGTTTCTGATTGAATTCCAGTTCTGGCACAAAAATTCACAAACATTCTGCAATGTTATGACGGAGACCCGTATTCAAGTAGAAGAGAGGCAGAGTTGAAGCAATACCTAAAGATTTCAAAGGTATAGTCGAGGATTTTTGCAACTTTTTGAAAAGACCTGCCCTCTGCACTTTAAAAAAAATGCACATGCACAACCCAGAGGGAACGTCTGTTAAACGCATATGAGAGCATGCACAAGCCCAGATCTCCTCATGCACGCTCTGTCTAAATATTGTTTGCATCGCTTATACAAGCTTACTTTCCAAAAAAAAGATTTGCAATTTTTTCCACTATGTCAGACTCAATACCAGTAAGTTAAAATGGGGACAAGCACGTAGGATGGCCTGACATAAACATATCACCGGAATGATTGACAATTTAGGAGGACCACTTATTCTGATGATCCACCCAGAAAAAGAGCATCCTCCACTATACCTTTACCACTGCAAAAAAGAAATCTACATAAAGCAACTTTAAGTTGCATTGATTCAAAAATTCAAAGTAAAGATCATGAACCCAATCCAATCCTAAACTATTTCGGGAACATGAAGGGAAGACAATAGAGGACGTTATTACACAGGGAAGACAAAGTAGGCTTGGGTAGAGGCACCAGCAGTGACTAAAGAACTAAAAGGGAATATAGAGTGTGGAGAATTGATGATAGGAAACCAATGAGACTAATGAGCAGAGGGGAAGCAGATGAGAGAACAATCTAAGAAAAGAGACAGAGGGAATCGAAGAGAATGAATGGCAGGATATGGATTTAACACTAACCAGAAACCGATAGTCAGTACACAAACAAAACCCAACGAGATACAAGAGAGATCCAAACACAACAGGAGACTGACAAACTTAGAAACTGTAGGAAGCAGGAGAAACAGAGCACACAGCAAAAGGGGACACACTATCTAAAATAAAACAGGAAACAACTAACAAAACACCAAAGACAATTTAAAAAGCAAAAAATTAAACAATACTAGTCAAAGTCCAATAAAAATCAACATATTCAGTCAGATTGACACAAAAGACCAAGTAAATGAAATCCAAAACTCTGACTTTTATGTGACAGATCAACACTAAGTACCAATTGAATTGAAACTGGATATGTTGCTGTCAAATATGAATTACATATGAATACGTACAAAAGCTGTATAATTATTTTGAAAAGTTATCAGAGCCTCTTTTACTCTGAAATCTCAAAATTAAAAAAATTCCAACAGAGGTTGGAATAATAGTAAAAATAGTGCACCAGCTGTTCTTTGAAGAACAAGAATCACATGAGAGACTTTAACAAGGGTTGGCTGAGAAACCAATTTCCTTACCTTTAAGATCTTCCAGAGCATTAAATGGGAAAAAAAGTTACCTATATAACTGTCATGGTCTTGGTTCTGTTGTTCTTTACTTTGGTCCTTGTTTTCTAGATTTATTGGTTTAATTCCAGTTGTGTTGTAATTTCTAGATTTATGTTAGTTCTCATGCTTTTCTGTTGTCCCCTGTTGTCCTCTTGTGTATGTGTGTGTTCCTTTCCCCTTGGCTCCCTCATTGTCTCCTCTCACACCTGCTCCTTGTCAGCTCGTTAGCCCTCCCTTTGTCTCTGTCAGCTATATATGCTCTCCCTCTGCTCTCACTCTTTGTTGGTTCCTTGTCTTTGCCGTCCTCCCATGCTGTTGTCCACATACCCCGTCTCTCACTGGCTCCTAGTGTTTGGTTTCCCCAGATGTCTCCATAGTTCTGGTTTGCTTTTCTTTATTAGTTTGATTTTTGCATTCCTGCCTTTGTTTACTTTTTCCTTCGATTAAATTCACAAGAAATCACCTCAGCATCTCTGCCTCTTCATTTGGGTCCTAAACCACAACCAACCGTGACAATAACATCCTCAAACCTACATAGACATAACCATCCATTCAGCTAACAAAGCAGGCTTGGGAAACATTAAAGAAGGGGCAAAGAAGCATCGCACCTCTGGAGGAGCTGCAGAGATTTGGCGCTCAGGTGGTAGAGTCAGTCAATTGTATGTAAGATTTAAAAAAAATATATATGGGAAGAGATCTGATTCAGAAAAACCTTTTTACATGGAAGAGTGGATCTCTAAGATGTAACACTGACATTTTATATACCAAAGTATTTTAATGCTTTAACTGGTTAAAAATAAAATGTAACAAAATATGAGATGTTACAGACTAAGATTAAACACAGACTGTACTACACTGGTTTGAAATAATGTACCTTTTCACAATCACTCTGTTTTAGCTGTTTATGTTAATATCAGCACAAGTGTTTGTATAGCTATACGAAGTATCAAAAAATCACCAAAGATAAACCTGTATTTAATGTGAGTCATTAAAAGAATAAGGCAAGTCATCCACTTTTTTTTAGAACTGGAATCCCAGAGTGGTTTATCTTGACCAGCGAGACTGTTTGTGTGTTTTTTATTCATGAAAAGAAAATCTAAAAATCTTGTGGATTGTAAATGGTTATTAAACATATATGAGACATTTCCTGTTCCCTGAACACTGACATTTCTGCTTAGACACAATGCTTTTTACAGTGGGGCTGAGTGTTGACACTAAGTCCCTAAATTTCCCCTCCTACTGTCGGATTTAAGGAGGATTTTTCATAATTAATTAGCAAATTTTAGTTAGAACAGACCCTTTAATCCAATGAAACTGCCATGCATACAGTGTGACGTTCATAGCAACACGCTGCAGGGATCAAAAACTGGAGTTGGGTTATTTCTCTTTACTACAGCACCACCATGTGGTTAAAACTGAGTATTACTGATTTACACGTTCATAAGGCTCCACCTAAAAGTTCTCAATCTCAGAGCAACAGAGGTAATGATGTGTATTTCTGTATTTTTTAAATCTCTTTGCTGTTTAGTTACTGTCTATCTAATCTTTTTGCACAATCTCATCTTACTTTTTTTTTTACCACTCCCTTTTTTTTTAATGTGCAACTACTATTGAATACCCTATGCAATAACCTGTTTTTTTTTGTATTCGACGCCCAGTGGTGCAGAGCTATATATATATAAATATCCCTCTATATTAATACCCATGTAAACACCCTGTGCATAACCCTGTATAACAATCCTATGCACTGTATATGCACATTTTTTCTTGCTTTGGCACATTCTTCTTCTCTTTTGGACTATTTCAGATGTTGTAAAGAGAAAATTTTTCCACTGTAAGATTAATAAAGACAATCATTCAATAAAGGCTGTTTTAAAGGAAAGTCTGTTCTGAAGGAACATAACCCAAAACTTTACTTTTCTATTATTTTGAAGCACTATCATTTACATAATCAGTTATTCATCTTCCAGGATTGACTTTTTAAACTTAAATTTAAATTAGGAACAAACTAGTTGTCAACATATATCTAAAGCGATATGCCACAAATCTAATAGAAAATCAATGCAATAGATCCACAATTAACTTGTCCAAAAATGTTCTTTTTGCTGCATTTTTGTTTCCTGTGCAAGACCTTATTCCCTCTGTTTTTTATTTGGATAACTGCCACAGATAACGTCTATAAAAATGATTACAGTAGCATAATAGGTTATATTTGCTGTCTGATTCATATATTTTTACTATTACACACTAACTGATTTATTAATTACAATCTAAAAACGTTATTGATATACAATCATGGTGTGAGCAAAGCAAAAATTTCCTCACATTTGAGTAATGTTTTATGATGGAAACCAGATTTTAAGATAAGTTTAATTTAGCTTTGATAATCCTGTGCTGAAGAACACTGTATAGGTTAAAGGTGACTTTTAAATATAATGGCAGCTATCTTTTTACACTGGTTAGAAAAGGATCAACAGATGGAGACAGCTTTGTCCCTGAAGAGGAACTCCCAGGAGATGCAGCTGTGTCATATTCAGAAAAACAACAACAAAATATTAAGCCCTGTGCATAACAGAATGTCTTGGCTCAAATGTGAGGCCATTTATCAGAAAACTGAAACTTGGCCTGAAAACGGGTCATTAATCAGGACTATGGTCCTAAAATGAACATCAGATGGATAATCGTGGTTTAAAAGGAAAAAAATCCAATCAGTTAAAATGTCCCTGTCAAAGCAGATTTTGGTTTGCTGACATAAAAAACAAAAATGAGTAATCGGGTTGAGACCCTTTAAAAAACAAAACAAATTCGTCAAAATCAGATGCATTTTTTTTTTTATCAATCAAATGTTTGTCACTCAGATTAAGAAAACTGGCAGCAAATTGGCAGCAAATTTCATCACCCAGTTCATTTTTCAATAAATGAAGACTGAGCAAATATTTGTAATTTAATCTCAGCATTAAAAAATGTAGTAAATTAAGTGTTATTCTTAAACGGTTTGTTTATTTCTTCAGTTTTTTGCTATAAAGACGCACTGTGAGCCTCAGTGCTGCTCTCCGCTCTCTCCTCTCATCCTTTTGTGCGCCCTGTCCAATCAGCGCTCAGAGCTGATTTCCCAGTCCGCTGATTGGCTAGAAAGGAGGAAGATGAAACGAGCAGAGAGAACCGACTGAGGACTTTTTAAAGCTACCCATCGATGTGGTTCTGATCCCAAATCCTCTGACCGCTCGCCCTGTTATGCTTTTCTAGGAATATTGTCCTTATACATCAGCAGGTTGTTTTTATATTGTTGCTTTCACTGTATTTTCGTATGTTTATTTGGATCGTTTGATGTGATGTCGGCCCCGCCGCTCCGTCACGTGAAGCCATGTCCGATAAAAATGTGTCTGCTGCTGATGGTTCGCTTTGTCTGTAAAGGTAAGTCACATTTAAAACATGCCTTGGTTAACTTAAAATGAACATCTTCTAGGCTTAAACGTTTTTCTAATTTGGCGACTCACCCTCAAAATGGCCACTTTCATTGAAGCGGTTAATTTGGATGTAGATGAATCTCAATTATGGTTAATGGGATCAATAATAATTCATATGTCACATTTTCTCTCAGTTTTAACATATTTTATTGTTAATTTATAGCATTTATTAAAACAAAGCAGCCATACAGAAAGGACTGTTTAAAATCTGACCATTGTCATGTGTTTCTAATCACACCCTTTAGTCAATTCAATTCAATTCAGTTTATTTATATAGCGCCAAATTCACAACACATGTCATCTCAAGGCACTTTACAGTTCAACTCAAGGCACTTTACAGTTCAACAGTCAACATCTGCAGCTTCTGCTGAAGTTACAGATGCTGAATCCTGGTGCATGGGCGGTTCTAGACAGGGGCCTACGGGGGCCAGTACCCCTGTAGCTCATGTCCTGGCCCCTGTACTGAAGACATAATACTCAAAGAAATTCTAATTACTGATAGGTCCTTTGGATCTATTTCATTTTTTTTTTTTTTTTTACAAATTGTGTTTTACTAATTATTTAAGAACAATAAGATGATACCTTCACTAGTATTGAGATAGGATCCCAGTTTTTTCAAAACAAATAAAAATGTTATAATTTTTGCAGGAGAATTTATCTGTTATTCTTGATGTCTAATTCTGCTTTTATAAAAAACGGCACATTTTAACTTAAATTAAGTCAAACATATGTAAAATTCCTAAATTATGACAGTATATTGAACGAATAAGAAATAGCATTTTAATTAAACCTAATTTAATAGAAATTTCACTTTATGCAGCTATTTTAATGTATTTGAATCCCTTGCCCTGTTTTTAATTTCATGCTTTTCTGTGCCCCAACGAAAACACGCTGGCCCCCTGATACATTTGGTCTAGAACCGCCACTGACCCTGGTGCATGTCTCTATCAGCTCTTACTTTGTGTCTAGAACCCGATGAACGCCGAATCTTCACATCAAGCCTTTTGCAGCCTGTTACAGTTTCCTCTCTCTTTTTTTTTTTTAACTAGTACAATTTTCCCACAGCCTGAACCAGCCTTTACCATATTTAACCATGGAAAATCTGCATCCACACTGTCCTACATTGTTTGTTTCCCCAAAAAGTTAAATTTTGTGTCATCTGTTATGGAACATATATTATGTTTTTTTTGGTATATACACTATATAACTTGTGCGTGCAAAAAAAAACTCTTACAGATTGTTTTTTTCTTCTTTCAACCTTTAATTAAAGGTCATACTTAGAGAGAAAAGGGAAGGCCCAGTCCTATTACTCTGACTTGCACTCGTTTTATGCCCTAGCACTTGGTTTTTCGCGATCATATCATGTGTAAGGGTAGTTTGACCCAATAGTTATAAGAGCAAGGGGGAAGTGCCCCTCACCCTTTAAAATGATCTTCATCCCGAGGATGGTCAATTGCTGACTTGGAACAAAGTGGCTTCCCAGAATACTTTGCAAACTCATTCAGCGAAAGGAGAAATGGCGTCCCGCTGTGGAAAAGAACTGCACAAAGAGTTATTGGTTCTAGTTCATAGGTTCTCCAACATATGATGTTGATCTCTTCAGCTCCATCAAGTTTACAATAAACAATTTATTTGATGAATACAATCTTGCATGAGCTTGTCCACTGAAGTTAATAAGGATGCAAACATACTGGTATGTCTTTCAGTCTTTATTAGGATCGGCTTTATCTATCCGAAGATGAAATCCTACCAGGTGTTCTTCTTTACCAGTTAGTTGACCTCTGAATCCAAATGGTTTCCCTGGAATAGATTTAGAGGCATATAAGAAAAAGGTGTTGATTATAAATTCTGGCCACATCTTTTTAAGATTTAATTTGCATAAAATGTAGGGGGAAAAAATGCAATTTCATGGTGTTGTTCATAGTGTTGATCACCAATGGTTACTGTTGTAACCTTAAAAAGTTGTTCTTGCAGAAAATATTTTATGAAGCATGACAGAGTTATATATGAAGTCATGTCAATAATGATTCATTTCCAAGTTGCAAACACTAATATTTGTGCTGAAGATTCAGGCGACCTTCTTCCTGTTCCAGGTGTTGGTGTCTGAATGATGTATGAGCGATGTCTGATGTTGAGACCACGTACGCAGACTTCATCGCTTCTGGCAGGACGGGACGCAGGAACGCCCTACACGACATCCTGCAGAGTCCCACTGACCCCGAGGGGCGGGAGCTCACCCTTACCCTGTCTCTGTCCCAGCTCCACATTAACGCAGGAGGAGGAGGTAAAAAAAAAATCCTGATATCAGTTTGAATCTAGATTACTGTGGGTCACGGATGGATGGATGGATGGATGGATGGATGGATGGATGGATGGATGGATGGATGGATGGATGGATGGATGGATGGATGGATGGATGGATGGATTTCAAGTTTATCAAACTCTGTCTTTATTTGGAATAACGATAATAAAAAAGAATCAGATCGACATAGAAATAGTTCACCAGACATATGATCCACCTTCTTTCATGACCACCTTGGTTCCACAACCTAAATCCAATGGAAAACCTTTGGAGTTATCTAAATAAGATGGCTTCTGAAGGACAGGGTAAAAGCTTCCTCCCTCTTTATGCTGCAGGTTAGCAAAAAGTTAATGAATCAAACTGCAAAAACTGGTTTTGATCAATATTTATAAGGGGTGGTGAAAGTCCTGATACCAATAATTTGGTAATAAACTGTTAACTTAAGATTTTTTTTTATTCCGCTAATGTATTGTACTTATATTAAAGATGTTCAGTTCAATTCAATTTAAAAAGACAATCAATCCCAAAGAGGAAATTAAATAATACCCAAGGGAAATAAAATGAAAACCCTAAAACTGTCAGAGTAAGATTTTGCTAAGGCAACAAATCCTTTATTTATTTTAAGATAAGCTTGTGGAAAGTACTGTACCTGATCACAAAAGCCTTCATCAGCCATCAATGTAGTAGTAAGAAAAATAAATTAGAACCTCTGTCGTAATATGAACTATACTTAATTTTGTCATTTCATTGCTCAAAATATTAGATAACAAAGAACTGAATAAATAAAAAAAGGTTTTTATTAGAAGAGATGCCACCCATTACGATTTCGTCATAATCATGCTCTGAGCTCCATATTAGGGCACGGTCAGACAATGTATCTGTCCCAGTCATGCTACGTCTTTCTCTGACCTTACCTCTGCTGTCCATTCGAGTGGATATTTTGAACTATCAAGGCTCAGAACAGAGGACCCAGTATTCAGGCAAGACAGGCAGTAGGATTATTCAAAAAGAGTTTAATTAAAACTGTAGTTGCAGTGGCTAGGGCATCTGAGGCAGGGAAGCCTGGATAGAGTAAACACAGGTTAGTGACCATATAAATATAATAGGGAAGATTATGAACGCGAGTCACTAAACTGGTTTAAAAGTTAAGTCCATGCCCAGAGGACAAGGTAGGATCCAGCTGGTAGGCTGCCAACAAGACCCTGAGTGTCCCAGATGCGGAAGCCCCAGAGAAACATGTAGGAGTCCGAAGCCAGGGCAGGTAAACAGATCAGAACAGGAACGGGCAGGCTCAGAGATCCAGGAGTCCAATGCCAGGTCTGGCAGACCGTTCAGACGGGAACAGGCAGGCTCAGTGGTTGAGAGGCAGAACAGGTCAGAATCAGGAAATCAGAAACACCAACAAACTCTAAAAAACTCACCACTGGCTAAAGAGAACAAGACTAATCTGGCACTGATGACAGGGTGCAAGCAGCTTAAATAGAGGCAGGAGCAGGTGGGTCAGATGAGAGGTGATTCATACAGGAACAGTTGTAAAGCTGATTTATGTAGCTTTTATCATTAACAGTTGGGGATTTTTTTTTTGCCTTGATGTGGAGGTATACATGATAAAGTGTTGCTTAAGTTTTTGTTCTCTTTTCAAATGTTTTCACAGCATTGTTAAGTGTTTTTTTATGTATTATAGTGATCATCCACACTTTTTAAAAACATTTCATAACGTCAGATAAAGATCATTAGAATTTAGGATCACCCAAGATTGGCATCTCTGAACTCCATTACCCAGATTCGAACACTGCTGTTACCAAACTTTCTCCATCAAGTAGTTCCACCAACTACAGATGTCCACAAACCGTCTATTATTTCCTTTGATTTAACATTCAGTGTTACTATGTGTTGCAGATGAAGAAGACATGGAGGACAATCACAGCTCCTCTGCTTCGGCCCAGCGGGAGGCGACTCAGAGGAACAGCTAAACTGCTACATTCTCCTTCTGGCGGACAGATCAATGCAGCCTCTGTAGCAGTGAATCTGTTGCCTCATAAAGACCTGGTGGCTGGAGGTTAGGGGCATCACTGCTTATAGGCCTTCAGCCAGAGCCCTCACTCCTGCTGAGATGTTGAGATGTGATCACTCAGTGCTGCAAAATGGAACGACTGAGGCTTTCCAATGCCAGGAGTGCACAAGATAATGACTCGGTAGTTCTTTTCAAACTGATTTTTTTCTTTTGGGTCTTTGAGGTCCGACACACACCGAAGGACAAATAGAAAACCAAGGAAATAGGCCAGGTTCCAATGTGTGGTTTGCAGTAGGTACAATGGTTAACAGTGAGAGTGGCTTCAATAGAAGCAGTGCTTCTTCTATTGCCAGTTAATGGGTTTTGAACTGACCTAAAGCAGATAATTATGGACTCAGCTGCACTCAAACTGTGTGTAAATCTATTTACACTGATATGTTTCTGTTTCATACGACAGGAAGCAAGTGTTCCTCAACAAATAGTATGCAGGTAATGTGACGTGTCCTTTAAAATGTTCATCCTTCTTTTTGCACCTTTCTAATAATAACAATGTCATCACAGCCTTACTTGAGAAGTTTGTCACGGTGCATTTGCTCAGTTTTTAGTAAAGAGTTTGAGAAGAAGAAGAGAAGTCTCTCTTTAGGGACTCTGCTTAGTAAACGGAAAAAGAAAAAAACCAAGCTCAAGTCTTCAAAAGCATAAAAAAGGATCCCCGGCCAAAATATATTTCTGCAGCTCTTGGAACACTTTGGAAGTTATGAAAATGGTGAAAGACCAAGAACGTCCAATTTGGATCTTTATACCTGGCTAGCAAGTGAAAAACATCCCTGTTTATTGTCTGTCTTGTTCATTGGTGCATCTCCTAAAACAACGAAGCATTTTGTGGTACATATAACCTAAAATGATCTAAAAGCTTTACAGGAGCAAGCTTCAAAACAAACAAACATGCGTCTTATTGAACACAGCAGAGCTGTCATCCTGGCTTTAAACTCACACTCAGGGAACTCATTTTATATACAAAATAGCATAAAAGTGCAAATCTGTGACCTTTTAGGTGCTAATGGAAAGATGTTTATGCAACCAGATCTGTGGGTTTGGCTTTATGTTAAAAATAATTGCTGATATTGTTAAACTGAGGTCAGATATCATGAATCATGTTGACTCACAAAGCTACAAGCAACATAGTACAGACAGAAAAGCTACTGTAGGGTCTGGATCACAACTTCTTTAATCATCCTTTAGTCAGAGAGTCTGAAAGGTCTGTTTTGTTGTACGCTGGTCTAAATGTGGACCGTGAAACATCATGCTATTTTGACGATAACAAGAAACAGACTTTTCAAACTATAAAGACATTAGTGATGTAAGATATTAGATTAGGGTGTGCTCATCTCTTCCTTGACAAAAAAAACAAAAAACATTTGACTTCCATTTTTCTTTCTCAAGGAGTCACCCCCTGCTGGTAGGAATGAAAATTGCACTTCGATAACCTATACTGCCAAATTAGATTTAAAATATGTAACCTAGACTCAATAAAATAGAATTAGAAGTGTCCCTTCTTCCCCCTCTGAGTCCTTTATACCTGCCATAGTATTTGTTTAGGTTTCACTGCAGATTGGCTAAATAAAAGCAGCTTTAGCAGGCCACATTCTCATCAAACTGCATGTGAACATGCAGCACTGTAATAAAAGTTAGTAACACTTCCTTATTTCTAAAATATAATAAAACCTACTGTGATTTCTTTGACCTTTGAGATGATATGTGCTTTATTCTCTGTGAGGAATCAAATTTATGACTGTCTCGTTCTTTTTTTTGGTGCGTCTTGATTGGCGGTTCGGGGTTATCTAAGTGTTATTATTTTACTGCAGACTGCTTGTTTATGTCAACCTTTTTCCTGGTTCAAAGAGTAACACACATGAGTTTTATTGTTTGAGAGGAGAAGTACAGATTAATGACTGCTTTGACTTACACAGGCCATATATCAAAGCTGTTTGCAGTTGCAGAGGTGTCCGTCTTTTCTTCTTCCTCTCAGCACTGCGGATCAGTAAGTGCATCTGACAAACTACTTCTAAATGTAAATATGCAACTATCAGCAGAGCTTCCAGGAACACTGTTTGTGTGAACGTTTGGCTAACTTACAGTCCTGCTCACTTGTATAGAACTGATTCATGCGGATTATTAACACAGACCAATCTGCATGTCTTCTCTCACTACAGTCACATATGGTCCTGTTTTTTTTTTATTTATTGTATTCAGGTGTTATACCCTTAGAGCAAAAAAAGGATGAAAACTAGGGTTGTCTGTTTTTTCAATGACAGTAGCTCTTCTTTTTGTGAGGTTTGTTTCAATTCAGCTCTTCATAATTCAATGTTTTGCATGGTTTCTTCATTTGTGATCATTTTTTGTTCAAGTTTTGTCCAACACAATAACAAAGGATCAATAAAAGAAATGAAAAAAAGGAAGTTTCCTGTGTTGTTGCAGTTCTCCAGCCTGACCAGCAGGTTGCACTGTGGAAGAAGTTGATGTGCCTTTCAGAGGTGTACATTTTTAAATGATGCCTTGGCTACAAACACAAACTTCAACGCATTTTAAAGGGATTTATAAAAAAAAGATGTTCAACAAATTAACATCTAAAACGTGGTATGAAATCGAATCGATACACTATGAGGATGCAGGAGAGTGACTCTTTAAGATTGCAGGAATGATACTATCTCAAGTTTTATGTTAAGAGTTGTTGTCTTGTTGGAAGGTTAACTTATTATTGTTTTTTTTTGTTTTTTTTTGCAGCCTGTAATTCTAACTTCTCTTTTACTGCCATTATTTCTATCCTTTTTCCAATTTATAAACATCTTCTCTGTTCGGGCTGAAGAAAAGCATCCATACAGGATTATGCTTCTTCCACCAGGTCTGATTCTTGGGAGTTTTTTTTGTACAGTATTAGATGATTAGATGCTTCCCCCTTAGTGACCATAAACGCCTTCACTGTGTTCTTATGTTTATGCTATTCCTGCCTGGCCTCTTTAAGGGACATATCTGAGCAGATCGGCAGTTGGGATGTACTCTTTCCATTTTTTAGATGATGGATTGGATGTTACTCTGTGTCATGTTCAGAGCCTATTGGAGATTGTTCTTTGACTCTACTCTGCTGCTTGTTCACCAACGTTCTCTGAAGAACCTGGAAGTACGCTGTACTTTAGCCATTACGTGATTTTAAATGGAAATGAGCTTTACTGTATTTTATTAAGGGATAGTAAACCAAGGTGGGGGCGACTACAGATGGAAACCTAACTTGTCTGATTTAAAAATAGTTTTAAAACCATGCGTCATATTTTCCAAGCCATGCTATACTTTCTTCTCACCTATTAAATAAAAACCCTACATTAAATTTTTCTCTTGTGCTCAAAGAAAGTTTGGAAAAGTGCAAAGGACTTTAGCTTGAAAAAATAAATAAAATCTTCCATTTAGGGAAATTAGATGTTTTGTTGCAGTTCTTATAAGAAATGCCCAGTTTCTAAAAACACAGACAGCTGTGTCTGTGTGTGTTTCTGCCTGAAAATGTCTGCATGTGTCAGTTGCTGATTATGCAAATAATCATTAGACAATTGTACCAGGAAGTTTGGGCAAGATAGAAAAATCCCCGAGCAGTTCCTCTAAGTTCCTCATTCTGCAGCAGCAGTCCACCACGGCCGCATGACCCACTTGTCAAACTGTGTGTGTATGTGTGTGGGTCAGTTCATAGTGTCAGCGCTTTAAGGAAAAGCACGAAGGGCATTTCTTTGGACTAGAATAAGGAAAGGAAACTTCTCCAAACTGGGTTAACTGTTCTTTCACTAGAGATACAGAGGTAAGGTCTTCTTCATGTTAAATGTGGCTTTAATCTGTAGAATTTCATCCTTATGCAGCTGGATTTGAAGATCAATATCCTTGTTTAGAGATGTTAGATTTGGTCAGTTTTTATTACTTAAAATGTAAAAGAAAGTCAAAGACACCAGGAAGAGTTTTTTTTATCTCCTCTATATTATTTCTGTGCGCCGCTGAGTTTGTGTGTCTGAGGGGAGTTTAATGTGTTGGTCACGGTGTGGCACAGGGGGTGTGCTTCAGCTGAAGACTCCCAGTTTTTGGCTGTTTACCGCCTGTTGCGTTAAAAATATAGCAGAAGCACTGAAGCAGTAGCGTGAAAAAAGCCTGCCAACCCTGCTGCATGCCTCCCTGGGATTTCATGCAGAGAATCAAGCCATTTTTCTGGCCTTTTCTGGTTTAATTACTGAAGTTTCTTTTTATATGCTTTTGTTCTCTTTCTTGCACTCCTTTGTTTAAACATGCTTCCTCTATCTTTTGTTTAAATACTGAGAGTTTGGTCAGCTTAGCTGTGCAAACTTCTGTGTGAATATTTTCAATGACCTGTTTGTTTGATTAAAACTTTAACTATGGGAACACCTCATTTTTTGAGGCGGTCAGAAAAAGGAAACATTTGCAGTGTGCACACCTTTAAGATGGACCTTTGCCCTCTGTTCCGTCATCAGGTCAAGGATTTACTAGATCCAGTGATTTAGTTAATTATACTTCAAAGATCAACAGTTTTTTGTTTTCCTTTAAAAATTAAATGTAGTTGTCTTGAGTAGATTTCTGAAGTGTTCTTATTTTGAGATAAAAATAAACTAATTTAGGTTATGCTGCGTTATTTGCACCAAATTATATGTTTGCAGAGGTTTGGTAATAGAAAACACCCCAACGTAATCAGATAGACCCCTCCCCCCTACCAGTATATATTCTATGTATATTTTTTTTTACTGTTTTTACTGTTTTCTGTTTAGATGAGTTGTGTTTAACTGTAGAAACCAACGTGACAAAAATGGACCAGTTATAGTACTGATTAACAGAGTGCAATGTTTTAATTATGGTGTCTATAAAGGAGATGACAGGATTATTTTTACAGTACTGTTAATAAGAACGTACACGGCGCTCTACAGTACAGTATAATTGGAGAACAGACTTAGATGAAACCACATTATGAATAAGAACTACATTAGAAGAATAAAATGTAAGCATCGGCGCAACTACATACTTAAATAAATTGTGTGTAACTGACTGACTTTAAATCTTTCAGCTTAGATGGAACAACTAATTACTGTAATTCAGTATATGAATTTGTTATTTTATGAAGAGTCGGGGTCTTTCTGCATGAAGTTTGCATGTTCTCCCTGAGCTTGCATGGGTTCTCTCTGGGTACTCTGGCTTCCTCCCACAGTCCAAAAACATGACTGTTAGGTTAACATGCTTCTCTAAATTGGCCTTAGGTGTGAGTGTGTGCATGAATGGTTGTGTGTTGCTGTGTTGCCCTGTGATGCCTCTCACCCATTGACTGCTGGAGATAGGCACCAGCACCCCTTGTGACCCCACTTGGGATAAGCATGTCAGATAATGGATGGTTCTATATAGAGTGCCAATGAAGTAAATTCTCACTTATCCAATTTTATGTAATTAAAATGAGTTTCAGTTCAGTTTATTTATATGGCACCAATTGATTACACATGTCATTGTAAGGCACTTTACAGAGACAATTCCATTAGATAAATTGAAAACAGAGGTCTAATATCATATGGTGAAACAAGAATGGGAAGTCGTGTGTCATCAGCGTACCTGTGGTGAACAACCTCTAGTCCTTTATAACCTGATGTATTTAGGAGAATTGATGAAAGTGGCCCTTAAGAAGGGACCCTTTTGGATATTTGTTCTGCAAATTGCATTATTGCCAATTATCACAAAGTGTATCATATCTGTGAACAACTAAACCACTTTAGCTCACTTTATCAGAAATGAGCAGTTCTGTCTAACAGAAATCTAAGAAGTGTTTTCATAATTTAACTATAAAAGAAATGAAGTATTTTCCAATGCAGTTGTGTGATGTGGTTAGAAACATGACTGAAAAGAAAAAAAATTATTTATATACAAATGGAGCACATTTGTTTATAAATTGTCTTCTATAAAAATGTAAGTGGTGTTTTAGCCACGTTACATTGAGAAGTTTTTTTTTTCTAGTTAAGAACTTTTTCTGTTAACTGTTATTTCCTTCCTTACTACATCATGAGGACACAACTCAATGTTATTGATGAAGTAAAGGTCTACGTGGCTTCTGCATTAACAGGAAATAAGCCCTATAAAAACAAACACAATGTCACTTTATGTGATTCTCAAAGTGTTGCTATGTAGTTGCAGCCTTTAAAAAATCCTTATGATTAGATGGAGCTTCCAATAAATCTGATCTTTTCCAGAATTTTCTTGTAATCCAGCTCACTTTGTCAGGCCAGAGGACATGAGAAACTTTTTTATTACAGATTAAAACATTGAAACAAAACAAAACATAAAAAGAATTCTTCATAAAGTGAAGAACATTATGGACAACAGGGAGCATTTTCTTTAGAAGATTTTTTAAAAGAAAACAGTGTAAGAGGATTTTCAAGATCTGTTGCAAAACAGACTGCTTTAGAAGATCCTTCCTGCCTATACCTATCAACACCTACAACACCTGTTTAAAAAATAACGCATGGGTTACTGCAACATTTAAGTTCCCTTTTGGATTAATAAAATATATTTGAATTTAATTCAAATTTTAATGAATTTAAAGTAGGATAGCATTAATCAGCATGCATTTTTAGCAACAACAATGCAGCAATATTCTGCCACATGATGGTAAATTGCCTGGATTCAAATAGTGCTTTACTAGTCACTAGTGGGTCCAAATAAAACCTCACTAACTGCCTGCTTTGTGCAAGTTACAGCTCTAGTGATAAATCTTATTGTTGCAATGATTTTTAAGTATGTCTTCATGTTTTCTTTCACAAGCTAAAAAAAAGCACAGTCAGGTTTGTACAGATTTTTTCAATCCGTTTTGGTCACGAGTTTGTTGAAAACTTGTCATGTTCTTAGCAAACTCATCATTTTTTTGCAAAATGCATTTCCTAATAATTCTCATGGAATATCGCAATCATTCTTTTTTTTAAGGTGGAATGATAATAAAACTTGTAACTTCATTTTATATAACGGCGTACCTTCCTATGTTTTCGTTTTATTAGTTTTCACTTGTGATCTTTTTAAATCATCGTTCTAAATGCGCTTAGTGTTTTGAGAATTCAGTTTTAGTTAGGGAATTCATGAACAAAGTAAAACATTGTAACCACAGCAGAGGGTATATTAATTATTCAAACTGATGGATTTACAACCAGGGACCAAACTTGTAGGCTTTAATTTTACCTTTAAAAAAAAGTTTAATAAACGTACCCGCAATCAAAATCTAAAAACAGTTTGGCTCTGTGTTCCAGATTACTGTCCTGCTTGAACTGTGTCAAACTTTGAACCGTCTATTTTTTTATGAAAGGGGAAGAGGAAGAATTGCAGGTGCTCTACTGTTTGCAAAGCTCCTCAAACTTTACAGAAGGCAGATGGTTTACCTTTACAA